GCAGCTAATCATTGGTAGAATTATCGATGTACTGCTGTCTATGATGATGAGTTAGAAAGCCAGAAAAATTGTCTGATTTTTGCATGTTCTATAGTGCATTACTACCATTAGGATAAAAAAAAAAAGTAGGGTTAAGTGTCATCGACAGTTACTTAGGCTAAATGATTGTAGTTTCATGTTACAAGTTGAAGTCATTTCAGAAAGAAGAAAAAAAGGTGGGTAATTTAGATTTTTCTTATGGTTAAGAGGTCAGTCCAATTGACCAACCTTGTATAGAATTAAACTTGAGAAAATAACAGCTGAAGTATAAAGTTTTACTGAAAATAAACATTTGAAATGTAATTGGTAGGTTTTAGAGATTACGCAAATGAAATTTGAAGTATTTTTAATTTAAACATGAAAATTACTTTGCACACAGACTATTCAAAACAAATACTCTATGTTTACTGAAAGACTGCCAAAGTTTGTATAGATATACATACTATATTAATTGTTTGTAGTCTCAAATCTATAAAGACTGTAAACAAGTGCAGAGAGGTCACTTGATTGGTTAAATCGACCAAGCCTGTGTCAAGACAGTTAAATGACTTTTGCCTATAATGTAAAAATAAGAAGACAGATCCAGGTATGGTGTGAACACTCATATCAGTTTATAGCCTCTAAATAAAAATACTGGTACATCATAAAAGATAGTTTGTTTTAAAATGAGATATGAAATGATTTTATCAAAGAATGTTATGAAAAAAAAAATTGCCAGGTGTGTATGAAACATGTAAATCAATCAATAGCAACATTCCTTCCTCTCTGCATTAGTTGCGTGAAAATGCATTTTGATATTGATTCCATCAAGTATCCACTTTACAGGCACTTTCACAATTTAATACTTAAAATTACCAGTGGACCCAACTGCTTGTGTACTAATTTTGTTAGTCAAAGTCTAATAATATAGGAAAAGAATTTTGCAATTAATTCTACAGAAGTAACTGTATCAAACATTTTCCTAAAATGAGAGATCATGTTACAGCTGTGTGCAAGAGATAATAACTGATCCGTTTTTAAAATATTTGTCAATTAGTTTCCAGTCTATATAATCTATAATCATGTGAACTGAAACTAATTGAACAATAATGTGCAGACACAATAAAATTATTCAAAACATTTATTTTAATGTATTACATAAACACTGTCAAATTAGTGACTTCAGTAAGAAAAAAAAAATTTTAGATTATCATAGAACAATAAGAAATTAAATATTGATAACCCTGCTTAACTTCTGTATCCTGTTCAGCAAAATGTCTCCTTGTTTGATACAAGCCTGGAATAAAAATGAAAATTATTTTTAATCTAATTCAAGCTTTTCATTTGCAAACTGTAAACTCAAAAGAAACAAATCCATCAACTTTGACATACAAAAGAAATAACCATCTTAAAAACACTTTACCCCTTTCCAGACTGGAAGGGTATTACTGATGCTCATGGTGGAAATACTCAGCCAAATTGCAAGAAACTTGGTACAAAGTTTATAAAAAAAATACATGTGATTTAGTACTTATAATTTTTTTATATTTTGAAATTTTCAAAAGTTTATTATAATAATTCCATTCAGTTTCAGCTGTTATGTCATATTTCTTTATATACCTTTACTTTGTTGATTGAAAGTCATTTCATAAAAGACTTACCTTTTAAAATGGCATCACTGTTACTTTTGTCAAGATAAATTTTTGCGTGGTTATAATACAAGAAACTTAACACATTAAATATAAAAGGATTATGACATCAGAATAGTTTGTTGCCACAGTAATCCTGCAGCTATCAGAAACAACTAAAATGTTAAAAATATACATGTATATATATAATTCTCAGATCTGTGGTTTGTAAGTGTTGGAAACTTCACTGCTACAGGAATTCCAGGTAGCAATATGTGGAATAACCACTATTTGCTATATACTGACATAGATTAGAATCTATTCTATCATTTTAAGCCTTTGTCTAACTATTTTCAAAGCTGAGTTTCATCAGTAATAGTAAGTCCACATACTGTAGTAATAAAACCACTGATAGAGAATGAAAGTGATAACATGGATCTCTATATTTTTAAGATAACGAGTTTCTTTAAAATGAGGAAAACATATTGATGAATGCCTCATTTACAGTTGAGACTCCATGGAGCTGCACAGAAATGAAAGTTGGAACATCATTTTCATTTGTTTTAGTTATATCAATCTTAAGATGTGTATGATTGAAAAATATTATTGAAACAGAATTACAATAATACTTTTCACTTAAATTTTGAAACTTGACATGCAGATGTGCAATTAATACTTGAAAGAAGAACACCAGTTATAATGTTCAAACTTTTCAACTATTTACTATTGAAGTCCTCTACGTGTACAGAACATTTGCATATTCTCATATATCCTTCCATACAGATAAGGGAAAAAAAACCTAACAGGTTATGTCACTAATGTATTAGTGATTTTTCAATGCTACTTTGACATATAATAAAACAGTTACACCAGACAAAGATTTAGTATCACATATCTGAATAATTTTATTTGTTAATGTACAGGTAATACTTCCTTAAACCTATTCATGTATAATCCCTTCAAGTAATTCTGTTTGCAACAAACACAATACAGTTCACTACTTTTAGTAAGCTGGTCTTGTACGTTGATTTGAACTTTACCACCCAGGATTACTAATAAGAGATGGACTTCCCTCGTGCTGGTCTAACTCTGTGTCTTAAATTTGTTTCTCATCACAAAACACAATTATGATAAGAAGATCATTCAGTGCATTTGCTACACGAAAAGGAAGAATTAACTGGTAAAATTCATATTACCTATTCTTCAAGTACCTTTAGGTTACCTGTGGTGAGATCTCATCACAAAAACTCACACATAACTTCAGGTTTCTCACAAGATCCAACTATTAATAATAATAGTAAAAAAATTACAGTCCACAAGGAGAAGTTACTGTAACAATATCTTTTGTTGAACTGTGTCAAAAAGCACAGTAACTGACAGTGTAATCTTAACCGGATGATTTTCTGCACATCATACTTTTCATGGTGTAATCTCTCTGGTTTACTATTATGAAGACAGTTGTTACAAGTTAACAGGGGGGTCAGCAAGCTCTAAAAGTGTTCACAGTTGGCTTGGCCAAACATGAAAGTGTAACTCAGTGATGTGAAGATTATTTGTATATTATATACCTAATGTAATGAAATATAAGAAGCTTTATCAATCTTCAGGTAGACATCACATGTCCAAAAACTAAATAAAACAACATCGGTAGAACTAATTTCTCTAATTCAAAATAAGCAATGTGGTTAGACATTTTAAAAGAGGAAAATATGGAAATATTAAATTGGTACTCAAAATAATTTTCATTAGACTAAATAACCACTCGTTTGAAGCTTGTTCAATATCTTTATACAATGTTTTGGCACAATATATATGTAGTATTAAATACTGTAGTAGCATTGACAGTGACACTTTCATTTTAATTTGATTTCAGTCTAGAATCATCATGTCTATCACCTGATCTTCCCTACTGGAAAGTTTAAAGTTCAGGAATGTTACACTTATTAATTATTTAATCTATTCAAATAGAAATTTCCAGTTTGATTACTGTTTAGTAAGTTTTATATATCTGTTACAAAGTATAAAGCTATTATATTCATATTATTAATATCCCAGTGATAAATCTCTACAATATCAAAACACTCTTAGATCTAGTGAATGTGATTTGAACTGTTTAAAAATAGTACTAAGAGTAATTACGATTATCTTAAATAGTTTCAAATATATTGTTGAACATTCTGTATTTAACTTTAGTGCAGTGTGATTAAAGAAAACACACACACATAATTTGCTGTGACCCAAATTTGACACTTAAATATCAGCTTATAAATAACGATAATGAAATAAGCAACAAAATTCAAGCGAGTTTCTCTGTGCTTAATAAAATAAATCAAGAAGAAATTGAACACATAACAAGATAATAAATTATATGTTTTCTGGCTACTTAACTTCAAGAACTAAAACTTCTTAATTTGTTTCTTCACTGAAACTTCTTAACAATATAAATGTCACATATTATTAGTATGATTTGGACATAACAAAGCTACCAAACATACGGTTAAAAATACTTGTTAATTTGTACTCACCTGATACTGATAATTCTTGCTGTCTGGTCTATTTGTCTCAACAATTCCTCCAACTTTGTCAATCTTGCAATGCAAGCGCCCAGCAGCAATGAATCGAGCCAACTCCCTGGCAATGAAATAAAACAAACTATTACGAAAAACTCCATGAGTGAAACTTATACTTCAATCTGTTTATATTTTAGATTATTTATATCAATATTTCCAGTTTAAACTGCTTAGATTTTCTTTATTAATCACCTGAAGATATTTACTCTTTTGATGAGAATTTTAAGTTTCAATTAACCTCTCGATAAGTAAACAGCTCCTGAAAGAATTGTACTTAACAATCTTGTGATATTTAGTTTTCATATTAAAATTTTAACATGAGGGGTATACAAGATTTTTTTACACCCTTTCAGAATATTTTAAGTCAAGTATGATTCACTAGATCAAATTAACTTTTCATTAATGAATTGGCCCTTAAGAGTAAATCTCTCCGTAAAGATTTATCTGTTCCAATTAACTTCTCACTACATTTGAAATTTACTAGATAATTTTATTCACTTCACGGGAATGATCAGTATAAAAACAAATTACACAACTGGCAATTAATGCAAACAAAATAATCCTGTTGTTTAATGAAGTGTGATATTAAACTAATGAACATTTCTTTTTTTAATCCTGTTTCAGTTGTTTAGTGATTCTTTTGTTAATTGTGCTAAATTTAAAGAGTATCATTTAGGAAATCAATGAGGTCAACCATTGCCTGGTCTTCCACTGTTAGAGAGAATGCTTACTTAGTTTCATTATAAGACACTTTTTTTTCCTAAATAATATTTTTTAAATTCAGCTTGACAGAAGAAGTGAATGTAAACTTAAGCAGCATATGTCTGTGCTAAAGCACAGTAGATCTTACTGTCTCTCAATTGCTATAACTGTGCATGGTGTAAAAAAACCTTGTACTCTAACTTACTTGAAATTATTTTTCTTAATTCCAGGCCATTACTGATCTTCATTTGAAAGATATTATTTAAACTTCCCCTTTTTGATACAAAGTTAATACCAAAACATGTGAAAAAGGTACATTTTAAAATTCCCAAGTCACCAGTAATACAAACTGGAATGATATGATGTATATTTATTTTTAGGCACAAATGAATATTAGAAAATAAAAACAACTTACTGGTCAATAAAAGCTACAGTAACTCCAAAGGCATCGGCCATATACTGAAGGGTCAAACTACGATATGACTCCAGCAGTTGGGTATATGCAAGAATTCTCATCTCTCTCACGTAGTATCGATAATGGGGAGAAAACAAACGATCACGTCTTAATACTCCCTCCACGTGAGCTTTACAAAAATCATTAGTTAATTGAAAAAACATTACATAGTCCAGAAAATCTATTACTAAAACAACACACTATGACGTCTAAGTATATAATAGCACATTACCAAAAATTTAAATGATACACTTCAGATTGTACCATGATCTTAGGTCAATTGCTGCTTACTAGAAAAAATTACCACCTTAAGCAAAAATAAGAAATTCCAGGTTTAAGTTTAATATTCTGGGTTTAAATCAAATTTAAGTATAGGAATACAAGTGGGCTTCATTTTCCTACAAATATAACAAGATTTGTTTGTTTGACATAAGCAGGATCATACACTTTGAAAAATATTAAAATTATATTGATGTATGCTCACAAAACATTACTAATAAGCAATATTAATTATTACAAAGAAAATCAAACTTTATAGGGTTGTTACTATTCTATAAAGTTATTAATTAACTGTTGTTATTTATAACTTCCTAGTACCTAAGTAGGTTTTAGGTTATACTGTTCTTGGTAAATATGTAAATTTCAACTATTCAATTGCTGAATAGGTACTAATAACACATATAAAGACCAAATATGTTGGATATTTCATTTTAATTGCTTATCTGTAACATCCCCAAAGAGCTTATTCTTTATTTCATATTTTCCTAGTTCTGTTTTTTATATAAACTTAAGTTAAGAATAACAAAAGTATAAAACATTTTCTAGTTTCAGGATTTTCTGGAGAAAAATATAAAGTTGAATTTTGTATTTAAAATTAAAAATAATAGATAAGCTGCAACCAATACAATTTCACAATGGCACTCGTAGCTTTTTTTTGAAGCTCAAAGACATTTTGGTGTTATTCTGAAGTGAAAAATTGAACATGCTGCACATCTTACATAGTACCAGTACAAAAAAGGAAGTCCTGTGGTGGAGATTTTTAAACATTTCAACATATAAAATTTTTACACCTTATAATCTGTTATTCTATGATTTAATTGTAGTTTGAGAAGAGGATTTTAATTCTAAAAATATTAGTTAAGCAAAGACACATTTCCCAGTGTTAAATAATACCTGAAATATCATTTGTCATACTTTTTGTTTTCATTAAAAATCTGCATAATAACTTACCAAGTTTGCGGAAAAACTGTTCATAGTGGCAGTTGTATAGAGAAAACAGGTACTGTTTAATATCAGGAGTGCTGTGAAGAACTTCTAAAATTTCAGATCCCTTGACAACCTATAATGAAAAAAATATTACCATTACAGCTACAATTAGAACATGTATGAGCTTACAGTAAACAAGAAATTATAAAACATCCAAGATATGTAGTTTGATAACAAGGTATGACTGTGCAGTCATAAGTGTTCATTTGCCATCATTGTACTTTAATTTTAGCAATATTTCATGATGGTTTTTAAATATACAACATAGAAAGATAAAATATTATAGATATGTGTGATGTATCACATTCAAACAGAACTTTAATGGTAGATTTACATTAAAAATACATAAGGCACTATACTCTCTAGTAGCAAAGTACATTGTGCTTGTTGGGATCAATTAACTATGTTCTTTCTATTCATGAGCTTTTAGAGATAACTCCTTTCTAAAATTAAGAGTAACTTGAATGTGATAAGTATTACTATTGGTCTCACTGTGATGTAAATCCCACTTATTACTGACTAAAAAAAGTGGTCAAACTTTTGTTTTTTGCTTTGGTGTCCCTTTTCCATAATCATGAAACTTTTCCACAGACCACCCGTATAGAACTCACAAACCATCAATGGTTCATGGACCACAGAGTGAGAATTGCTGAATTTAAAGATCATGCTTTGTCACCTTATGTAATATATACTACAAGACTCGATGTCTCATGGCTGAATGGAATAAGTACTATTTAAATTAATACTACATATATTGAATAGCAGGTGATTTTGAATACTGAGTGAAAGTTGGAAGGAGATGCACAACAAAGTGTTAGTAAAACACCCTTTAACATCGTTTTTCATGAAGACCATAATAAGTGTGATTAAAATTATTAGGCTTATGCAGTATAGTATCACATTTATCACAAACTAAATAATAATTTCTTTGAATTTTGTTTTAGCTTTGTACACAATAAATCCAGTACAGTTTCAAAATCCACCTAATGACAAAACAGTGTTCTTAAGTGCAAGTTCTAAAATCACTCAACTTTAAGATAAGGCTATCAATAGTTTAACTGAAATAATCTCATTCACTCTATTAAACGCATGAGATATATGGGGAAAAACAAAATGTCATCTGATGTTCTATAATTTAAATCAATTATCCAATTCAAACATATTTGGGCAGTAGTTTTTGTAACAAAAACATCTATTTATATAGTTTTTTCATCAATGTAAAGTTTACATATAAAAAATGTTGTTTGCTAGATTTATGTAATAATATTAAAATAATAAACACATCTCCAATAAATCCAATGCAACAAACATCTTGATTCCATGTTTGTAAAAAAAAAAAGAAGCCATTTTCACTCTTGCTTGTGTACTTTTATTTGTTCTCATAATTGCACATATAATGTGCCATAGGAGTAGAGCTGGGTGATTTAATCAATTATCTATGACCAATGGTTGCATTAATTACTGTCTCAAGCTAATGAAAATTAGGATTTACAATTATTCCAACTATCCATGTAATAATTGAAATGTTGCCAGTAAGTTTGTTTGTTGTTAAGCACAAAGCTACATAATGGCTGGGTAGGGGAGGATGCTTCATGATTCGAGGGTCTCGGGTTCAATTCCCAATGCCACTAGATTTGCTCGTCCTGTCTTTGTTATCAAAAATCTATTAAAGCCATCTGCTACTGTCACTAAATTTGAACTGCCAACAAGATGGAAGGTAGCTGGCTGGCAGCACTCACTGCCAACTCTCTGGTTACTTAAGTGTTAAATAAAGTGTAAATTTACTGCTTTTTAGACTGTGTTATTTTCTATTTCTTTATATCATAACTGTATTCTTTAACCCTTTCACTACAGCTGGAATGTATATTTCCCAGTGCACTTAGAAATATACGTCCCAGCTGCAGTGAATGGGTTAATGTTGTATAAGCAGGCACAAATTATGGGTAGGGTCCAGATCCCTCCCACCTATTTTAGTTCCATAACTTAATAATTTGAAAAAAAAGCAACTTGTTTACAAATGCTAAAATATAAATTTAGATGTACACTTTATTTCTTTCAAAATTTAGCTATTTAATTTTAATTACAAAAATCAAAATGTTTGGTTTCAGCTGTATTTATATTCATATCATTCACATGCCAAGAAATAAAGATATAAGCTTTGAAATTTCTGAATTGTAATCCAACCAAGTTACTCATAATGACTTTTAGAAGCTTTCTAGTTAACTTTATTAGTAAAGTTACCAGTAGTGAATAGTTATAAGTAAAGTAAACAATGAAAGGGATATATTTCATCAGTAGTGCTAATTGAAGACTTGTTGGAGACCCCCCCTTCCTTACAATATCCTGGATCGTCAATTTTGAGTAAGAGTTTTGTAAAGTATGGACTTCTAACAACATTTAACATAATTTAAAGACACACAAATTCCTTGTTTTGAAAAATGTTTAATGAAAGTATTCCATCTAGTCAGTTTTAACATTTCGTTATTTTATTTGTTTTATGAACACCAATATTGTTTGTCAAATATCACATATTGATTTTTGTACATTTTGAAAAATATTTATATTTCCAAGAATGAAAAAAGTATTCAAAACATGATACTGATCTATAGCCAAAACTAGTCTTTTCTTAATATTTTAATGATTATATTTTAAGGATAATAAAGTTTAACAACCTCATATTAAAATTTGTTGTTTGAAAATGTCACAATGTAACATGTTTATCTTAATCAAAGAAAATTAGTTTTAATACAGTAGACTTGTGAAAATATGTAGAGATACCCACAAAATACTACTAAGTTTGTTATAGGTTTTGTACTATTTATGTATGATACATTTTCACCTACAATACCTTAGAATTAAATCCTAAATTAGTGTACCTGAAAACAGTATTTCTTCAAGTGAAAACAGGATTTCCTCTAGCTATTCATATATTTTCACCCTATATATATTTTTAAGGCAATTTCATATGTTAATTCTGACTCTTTTAAACAACTTTATCTCAAATATTTTAGAATTGATATTTTATCATTTTTTGGCTCTTATTTCTGCACAACTGCAAACACTTTTGCCTGTAAACAAAACAAAACCTGCTAGTCAATTTTTTTTTCTGCCCATCCCAAAGAATAACTATTTTTACTAAGGAACCTGTAACCCCTTGAGAATATATTATCCATTTCTTGATTTTCAACCCTCTTCCCTTAGTTTTTATACAGACCTCGGTCGAAAACTTGTATTGGTGACACACCAAGTAGTTAGATCATTTACTGATAAAACACAGCTTTGAAAACAGCTATAAAGTAAGTTTAAATTTGATTAAATAGAGAAAAAATTAAATTGTCACATGTTAATAGAGTAAATATATAGGTATGAGATGTTTTTTTTATTTTCCATTAAAAGTTTAACACTTAAAAATGACAATTCTAACTACTTAATTTATTTTTAATTAACAAAAATTTTACTCTATTTTTTTACATAATCAACATACATTTTGTAAATGAATACTTTTAACAGATCACTGTTTGTAACTTGATTTATTTTGTGCGTTTCATGATTTGTATAAATCACAACACTTCAGAATCTGTTTGATCTGACAGTTTACTGGTTCATAATTGTAAGGTGATTTAAACAAGATTATAACAGTGCATGTTTACTTCATTTTACTATTAACCACTTATATGTTAATGATATTAGTTGTATGTTTAGCATGCTACAACACTTAAAACATGTTTATTTTTTTACACATTATAACATTCAAAAATTGTTTCACAATTCCTGACCAGCTGGCTACAGCAATCCTTTCTTAATTCAACCTGTTTGAAGGTTTTCCATGTTGGCCAGTACCTACAGAACAATTTAATAAACAAGGCATGGAAATTCCAGATTTTACAAAGACAAAATGCCTGGTTCTAGGACAGTTGTTACCCATACAGCAGTAGTTTAAACTACAAAATGTTGAAAGTCTAGCTGTTACATGTGTCAAGACTACTACTAATTTTGATTTGTTTGGTATCCATGTTGGCCAGTACCTACAGAACAATTTAATAAACAAAGCATGGAAATTCCAGATTTTACAAAGACAAAATGCCTGCTTCTATGACAGCCGTTACCCATACAGCAGTAGTTTAAACTGTTGAAAGTCTAGCTGTTACATGTGTTAAGACTACTTCTAATTTTGATTTGTTTGATATATTTCTAATTTTCATTTAGATAGTAGAAATATATAAATTTTTTAGTATAGAAAAAAAACTGTCATCATAAAAAATATAGATGCATGCGTGGTTTGTACATTTGTTGCTTATTTCTAGCTGAAACAGTTTCAAAACAGTGAATTTTTTAATATGTGGTGTCAAAAACTGTAAAATTCAGTTAAGTGTACTTTGTTTTCTTAAACTTTTAAAGCTAGAAAGTTCCAAAATTACTTCTAAAAGCTGGAATTATTTCCTTCACCATCTACTTGCCATATAACTATTTCCATATATAAATTGTAAACTTTTCAATTTTTAGTTATTACATCAGAAGTCACTCTTTGGTCACATGCCTTCAAATAATTCAACTATACCTATTTTTCTTGTATATGTGTGTGCACTACATAAAGAATATAAATTTACAGGTTCCTCTGTTCTTACTTCTTTATTTTGCTAAAATAATTACTTTGACAGCTGGTTTTCACTTTAGAGAAACACCCATTGGTAATTTGAAACTATGAAAGTTTACAATGGATCTTGCCTGGGAATGACCTTGGAGATTAGAAAGGGAGTCATTTTGAAACAGATATAGATAAGTTCCAAAAGGAGTACAGAAGTAACCTTTATAATTCAGATTTAGAATGAGTTAAGACAAGTACAATATATTCATATTAGTTTTAATGATACACAGAATATTTAACTGCAAAATCTTTTTCAATAAAATGGGCAAGCAAATGACATTATTAAGCCTGTAACTGTATTAGTTGCTGTTCATAAATGCATATGTTATGTTAGTTTGAATGAAATGCTCAAAAATAAATATGGATGTACAAAAATATAAAAAAAAAATAACTAAATGTTAATATTTTAAATTATTTTCCTGGGACTATTACTTATTATGTGAAATTAACAAGATTAATGCAAGAATAAGAGTGAAATACCAATGGATTTTGAGTCACGGAACATGCATAGTCAATAGAGAATCCTGTGAGATATCTACTCTTCAGGTCACTGGTTACAGCTGTATTGTATAACAACACAATATATAGCTATGTTATGTAGTTGTTGTTATTCTATTATGAATTTGAGATTTAATGAAAAATCAAGTCTAAGTTCAAAAATGTTTAATGGTTATCATTTTGTTTGAAGTGTCTGTGTTTTACAAATATTGACAAGTTAATTATTGTGGATGCAAATTCAGTAATGGCAATATATTGCCTCTAGACTGCAAAGGTTATATAACAATTGCAAAGACTTATCTATTACATATATCAATGCTCACCTCTGAGATAGCACTAACCAACAAAAACATGAATACACCAACAATATGTGCCCTACCCCTAAATAGGAGCAAGATTCCCATGAAGTTTGCAGAGGTATACTTAAAATCCAATAAGTATTAATCTATTCTACAGCAGTACCAAAACACATTTGATTTGTGTGCTGTTATGCAAAAAGACCCCCTTTTCTCATAGTTCCACTTTAACATTTTAACTGAATTAAATGGTGTTAGTCATAAAATCAACTGTGTAAATGTAACTAGTGAAAATTCTCAACATAACCAAACCAATTTTTCTCTACAACAAATAATTATGTAACAAACTAATGATAAAATCTTACTTTTTCTCTCAGATCCACCCGAGGTAAAGCAATCACACTACACAGTACAGCATAAGTGACAAACGTCTGGTAGTTCATTAATTCATAGCAAGTAAAAGTTGACACAGTGTCAAGGAAATAGTTAGCTGCTCCTTTGAAGTCTCTTATAGCAAAACAATAAACACCTTGATAAACTTTGAGCCTGTTTCGACGATCCCAGTCTCCTCCTTCTTCAATAAGACTAGGAAATGTATATGTCAGCATTATTTCATAACATTAACAAAGTGTCTTCACTACTTTTCTTAAGATCTATACAAATTATTATTTAAAAGTTTCCAATTCTAACTAGTGTTTGATTCCTCTTTTGAAAAATTTTTTCACTTAGTGTATAAAATGTCTGAATATCTTCAAAACAGAATGTCAGCTGAATGGTTTAAGATACTTCAAGACTGTTCTTACTTCTGTGGTAACATTTTTCATACAGAAGTTTAATAAAGTTAATATGGTATAGCAGCTGGATGATTATACATAACAATTTCCAGATTAACCTTTTCATACTGAAATGTAATATTGCACTAAAAACTGTGCAAGCTTCTCATTAAACTTGTACAGGTGCAAAAGTCAAATCTCAACAATAATATGGCCATAGTACAGAGTACAAGTAAGAATTTATAATGGCCAAATATTTTTACATTACATTTGTTTATTATCTAATTAAATTATATGAGCATGTATAACTCTAAATTCAAAATGTATACAATTCTTAGTAAAAAAATGTATAACACTGAAAACCTTTGACATCAATATATAGTAATTCAAAACTGAGGACTGAAACAATGTATTTACGAGAGACGGCTTCACAAGAATTTTCATAATGATTAAAAAACAAACAGTAAATGCAATGATATACAGAAATCTGTCATTATCTAACTAACTTTAAGAAAACTTACCTTTTGGCTTTATCAATGTTACGAGTAATCAGATCATGGTCCATGTAGAAAAGACCAATTCTGATCAAGTGAAACAACAGGTCCAACCTGTGGCCTAAAGACACTGTCTTTTCGTATGTCTTGCGAAAAGCAGTTAATGCTGCTTCCTAAAGGCAATAATTTAAAACAATTACTTCATAGTGCATGTGTAGAAACTATCTGAATCTGCCATTATTATACTTTAATGATGATAGTTTAGATACATACAGATATTAACCAGTGTTTCAAATTTCTTTTAATTAATTTTGTGACACAGTGTATACAAAATTGCATCTTTATCATTGCTAGCACCAACAAAACAATATTTTTTCAATGTTATATAAAATGATTCACATTTCTTTAGCTACCTGATATATATGAAAAATGCGTATCACATGCACCTTCTATCATTCATAATTTGTTTTTAAACATACTCTGGTTTCCTTCACTTTACACACACAACATTATTCTCTATATATAAGCTGCAATGATACTTTTAATAAAGTACAAGTGACCTTAAAAGTACAGTTTTGCTACATTCTTCATACTTTAAAAAAATATTTATTCCAATTAAAATTATGACCACATTGAACTAAATAAAAAGTGATTTTTCCTTGTTAGTAATGATTTATTAACTTCAAGTTAATTTACTGGTTTTAGTGAATAGCACTTCTCACAATTTTATTTATATTAAAGACAAAAGGTAACTTAATATTTTGAAAGATAAGTTAATGCAACATAATGTTTTTTTGTTTTTTTTATCAATAATAAAACTGTGCACTATGATAATGCCACTGTGACAAACCTTGAACTAATTTCACCGCATGTCAAAATAAAACACTTATATATGCAAAAATGTCAAAGGGCATGAGCTCAAATAGTTTTTGTGACATGCCTGAGATTACTATTTTGCCTTCACTGGCTAAGAATATATAACTATTTTTTCAGTATAATTCAACTGTAAGGTAAAAAAAAACACATCAAGTTATAAATTTCATTATGTTTTAGTTCTATTTAAATTACTACAAGTAACATAGCAACAATAGATTTTATACCTTGTCTCCAATAGCACTTAGATATTCAGCTTTTGCCAGGTTGGTGTCTCTCACTTCCATCTCACCCAAGTTCTTCTCAGCATCTTCTATTGCTTCCTCCAAACTCTTTAACTTTTCCTCATTAGCTGTTTTCATCTTAGCCAACAGCTTTTTGTCTATTGTCCATCCAAGGTCTTTACATACCTCTTCATAAAATGGAGCCATGTCTGCAATGATACAGGATATTTTCACAATAACATCTACTTTATTTTAATTTATAAGTTGCTTTGTTTCCAAGTTATCGAACTTAAAAGTCAATAAATTTGTCTTCTCATATAAATTCGTGACACTGGACTCTATTTTCTTATGCTGCTTAACTCATTTGACCAAAATAATAAATTATAATTTGTTACTTACACAAAAATGACATTTGTTAATTTCTTTCAGAAGTAATATTAAAGTAATCAAAAATATACAAAACAACAAATTTAAAAAATTGTAAAAAAGTTATTCAATCATTTTTTTAACAATGCAAATGTAATTCAACTCTGTATAATTGCTTACTTGATATGTTACTAGCAATTGTGGGAGCACTAAGTACAATGTGTGATCAGATACTTTACTTAATATGTGTGAAACCATAATGGCAGTGCTGATAATGCTTCTTAAACTATATGTTGCTTAATGCTTTGACTATGACCTACTTACATTGTAAAGTTCTTTACATAAATGAAACTATGTGGATGAAATTCTTTTAAATTTGAGATGAAAGGTCCTATAAGTATGTAGTTTTTGAAAAATAAGATATTTAATTTTGATTTTTTTCTAAAGCAATGTTTTTCTCGTGCCTTTTTTTTTCATTTCGCATGTTGCCTATCCAACATGCACAGTAATTTTCATTTTAAGATTAAAAATACTTTTATGCATCAGAAAATTTACAAGTTTCACATATGAAATCCTTATAATGTCCAGATAGTTATCAAACATTTTGTAAGAAAAATATTTATATTTTTATCTGTTATTTTCACTAACAAATATCTGTATGGATTTGGTCGATTTGACCAATCTCATAACCACCATAAAAAATTAGGAAATAAATAAAAATTATGCCTTTTTCGTTTTAGAATGACTACAAATTATAACATGAAAACATAAATGTTTAGACTAAATAGCTTAAATCTCATAACATTATACATTTATATATAATTTCCATAATATTGACCTTTCAGCTATGCCTGGCTAACAGTACAGAAGTTACAAAGATGTGGTACACGTGCACTCATGTTACCATATCCAATAATATAAAATTGACCTGACTTAGTTGTTTTAGTGGACTAGTATTTTGTAAAATAGTCACATTTCAATTATTATACATTATATATATAGATTATTGTTATTTAGAAATATGTTCTTAAACTTATTTTTCTTGAAACATTGAACAATAAGTAAAGCGAACAATTATTTCTTCTAGTTTTGACCTTTGTACTCGGTTACTGCTTGATGTAGCTTGCTAAGCCTTAAGAAATTTTGCACAAGGAGGATATGAAATGAAATAAGTTTTTTTTTAGGTTTTATATATTATATCTACATTTGAATAACCAAAAAAGATCATAAATTACTATAGAATTCCACTATAATTTATCAAGCTTAGTAACTAAGATGTATTTTGGTCTAAAAAATATCAAATTTCGAGCAGACTAAAGACACAACCGACCTCCTTGAAATCTTGATTCGAAAGAACAATATGGGATCCTAAAACTTTAAAATGGCTGAGAAAGCCACTATGGGAATATTCTGTGCTTTTGACTGATTTTTCACATCATATATAGAACTATGTTTACATAAGGGACCATTTCCAAAAATTGAAAGAGATGAGCTGGGCCACTGCATTTTGTTCAGTACATGAACGATATCTCAGCAAATAGAAGAGATAGGAGGTTCTTATTTTATATTATAGCTTATCAATATCAGTAATTTGAGTTCCTAATTTGTACAAAACTATAGAATTTGTATTTTGACATCAAAAACATCTAATTTAAACCAGTGCTGCACATAAATTGTTGTATAGGTATGTTTTTTAATATTTACTTTTAAATTAAGAAATTAAATAATATATAATACTAAAACTTGAATTATAATCTACAGTTTGATACCAAACTTAATGACATAAATTCATAAAAAAGTAATTCAATAAAAGTTTGAATGTGAATCAACAAACGCGATGACATGGCCTTTGACCCATGTAGAAAGTTAAAAACCAAAGGTTTCCAATCACAGCCTGTCCTAAATAATTTAAAATAACCACATTTCAGAGCTATTCCACTCAAAGCAGTTTTAAACCCCAACAAAAAAGACAACTTAAAAATGTACATACACTGATAAAAGTTTAGCACTGTATATTAAAATTAACATGTGCTTAAATAATTCTCAATGAATGAGTATATGCACTACCACCTTATTTAATTATTCACTTAATGTTTTTAAATGCTATCGACACTTACATACAGATTATTTCACAGTTTTTGAATAGTATATTGATTGAAACAAACTTAAATCAAACAATAATTGTGGAATATTATTGAGTGTATCGTTAAAAGACATTCATAACAGTAAAGGTACCCACATGATTTAATACAATATAATCACAAGTCCTCCAATCAATCTGTAGTTTGATTTTTAAAACCTATGTGTACATGATTCTGAAGAATTACTTTAATTATTCTTAAGAAAATTTTGTAGCAAATGTTAACTGTAATGTAAATGAAATTTGTGAAATAATGATTTTGTTAACCCACTTGGTTTTTAGGCATCTAACAAATGCTGCCTAATTTGTGTAAAATCTTTTGATAAATTAAGCACTTAGTAACTTCTTACAAAAACAATTAACAGAAAACTTTATATTAATAATGAATGCAATTATTTTTGTAACACTTAAGTTTCATTTTCATATTTCAAATGTATAGTGGTATTGGTAATAACATTTTACAAGTTAAACGATTATCACAGTAGCTCAAATTGTAACATGTAGAACACAATCATCAAAAAAGATGCTTTGGGCCCTAAGGAATGCCATCAATAATTAAACTAAAAGCTTTGGATGTAAACAATTCATACAAAAAATTAAATGAAAAATGCTGAGTATGGCAATTTAACAAGATAACATTGGAAAACTGTCAAATTTCAATTTTATTTTTTAAATTTACCTTCAAGTCATGTTCAGTTATGGCATAGCTGTTAGATATGTGTTTAGTATACAAAATAACTCGTTTTCATCCCAACAATAACAAACATCCAGGAGTGTGAAAACTATTCCTAATAAATAAGGATTCCTTACAGGTCCATAAATTGTTTGAAGTGGTGAAAAAAATGGAAATATAATAACAATATAAATGATAAAACCATACAAGATCTTCATTTTTTTTAGTGACTGTCCCTTCAACAGTACAGTACGAAGATCCTGAATTTCTTCATACTGATACATCACTCAGAATTATAAACTATTTATTCTGATACAATTATTCAAAGTCTCACACAATTCCATTAAACACATTATGCAAAACATTTAATAGTACCATCATTTCATACTGACAATGTAAAAAGAGAGAGCAATATAACATCACATTGAGTTAGTGAAATTTTTAAACACGGAATATTATATATAATTAAAGTGATGTGTTAAACAATGCAGTTTATAAATATGTCCCAATATTAGCACAGACCATGATAGGGAGGGGGGGGGGCTCATAATAATGTACGAGACCTACATGGGTTTGATTTTGAAGTCATCTAATATTTTGATAATTTTATCTGAATCACGTTAACGCTTGTTGAAAAGTCTCCAGTTATAGCACCTCTGTGATATAAATCAAGTTACAAGTATCAAATCCATTATAGAAGGGATGTTTAAACTACATATGTTTCTAACTCATATTTTATATTTTGTTAATATTTTCTTATTGAATGAGTGCCTAATCTACAAAATATGGAAAAGTATAAAACAACTCTGTAGTATGTTGTTTTTTGTTATTAAGCACAAAGGCCTATCTGTGCTCTGCCCACCACGGGTATTGAAACCCAGTTTCTAGTGGTACAAGTCTGCAGACATACCACTGTGGGGCAGTATGTTGGAATTGTACATGTTTATGCATGTGAATGATTTCTAATTTATAGTTACTGGCACTGTTTAATTACAGGCCTGCAAATTTATACTTCATATTAGTTGTTTTGGTTTTAATAATGGATTTTCCATAATTCAGCTACACTGATTTCACAAATAATATTCTTTTTTTTTCTATCACGTAAGGATTTTTTACAAATCAGAAAGAAAAAAACACTCTTACTTAGATCAAATTATCATTTCATTTACCACAACAAACATTTTTTTTATGTTTGGTAACAAAAATACAAACAAACTGAAGGAAAGAGAAGAAAATTTATGTCAAATGAATATGCATTCTCATTCATCCTGATTTTTTTTGTGAAAGCTACATCTTTTAATCTCAAAACTACATGTTGTGGTCTTTCTTTTATGTATTGTGTTAACATGTTTTGTGAAAAATCTGTAAGTTATGAAGAAAAATGGATATCATTTTTGGATTCAGCATACATGAATTACCGTAGAACATGTCAAAATTTCAAGTTCCCACATTTCTTGAATTCATCAAATCTAGTAAATAGTTATTATTATTTCCAGGGTTCAAAACTAGTCAATTAACAAAAACAACTGCTGTGCTAAACAATAATCTGGATGTAATGATCACAAATTGTTGATAAAGGAAAGTCTACATATGAATGAAAATCCAAGCCTCAATAGAAATTCAAACTCATTCATTATCGCTTTATTCAAATAGCTCTTTTTTTTTAAATTGAATATTTTATAATATCATAACACTATTCATTGTATATTTTTATATTAGTAATTATACTAAAGATTGTTAAATTTGCTATTTTCATGGATTTGCTGAATATGTCTAACTCCAAAACATTCATTAAAGATGCTTACAATTGTTGCTAAGGCTCTACTGTTCATTATCAGACTTTATTTTCCATCAAATGTATCAATCTAGACCAATAATTAAAATAAAGCCAAACTGATGTAAAAATGAGAATTACAGAAGAATATAACAATTAGTAAATATGCATATAAAAACAAAGGTTAATTAACAAAATAAAACAAGGCACACAGTTTTATTAACCATAAATCAGACTTGTTAAGTACTTTTCCTACAGTTAATCAAGAGATAAATTATGCCACTGCAAATGTGGTTACGTGACCACTCCCGTAAAACCAAGTTCTGAGATATCAAAAATTATGATGATGACAAAATTAAACTCCATGGAAAACATTTTAAAAAATCATGACTGTCTTCATATAACTAGTTGATTCATTTTTTCCATGTAACACAATGAGAAAAATAACACAAAATTTCATTTATTTCAATCGTTCAAAAAAGAGCCATATTGACAACTCATCCTTGTATTTTCCACATCATCTCTCCCACGTCTCCTTGTCATTCCAAGTTCCACACCTCTCTGTGTTGAAATATATCATGTAGGGAGAAGTGACTTCTCCCTAAAAAGTTAAATTTTGAGTCTAACATGATCCGTGGTTGAACATCAGAAATCCTAGGCTTGGGGTAATTAACTGTTACAATAGACTTAAAATTTAAATAAAAATCTTTATATTAGAAAACAAACTTGGGCAAAATAAGATTTTTCTTGTTATAAGTTGTATATATCTCAGTTAGGCCTATGTCTATACTTATACGCTATACTCGGTAGTAACATGAGAAAAATCAAGTTTAACTTATACAATATACATGTGTCGACTGTACACTAACATTACGCCAAATATTTTTCATCTTAAGTTTACTAAAGTCTGACTCCCTATAAAAGTAGACTACAATAATATTATACAAATTGTGAATACGAATCAACTGAGAAGAAAGGCAGTGTTTTAAAAGTTAGGCTTTAACTTACTGTTCTCCTTCATCGCATTCAATAAATCATCTTTCAGTTTTGCATCATTTTTGTTTTCGTCTAGTGTTAAAAAGAATTTCTGTTGAGCTATTTCTAAATTTGGATTTTTCTTCAAACTTTCTTCTTCTAAATTTTCAATTGGCATGATGAAGCAGCTTTTCACGTTTTATGCTACTATTTATTGGTACCCAAACTTAAGAGCTGTGATGCTCTGGTGAGTGAAAGTGTAATTAAATAAAATTACCAGTCTTAAGTAAAGCCCATTTCGAAGAAGTGATTGATAATGTTGTATTTATTATACAACAACTTTAATCTTCCTTCTTTCATATATTACCACGTATTTGTTTCATACCTAGAAGTGCGGGCCGTATTATGACATCTCTCTCAAAAGCGTTCTCTAACAGTTGAGTGGCAGATTTCAAAAATATTTCGGAACAACATTGTTTGACGGTGCGCAAAGACATCTCTCTCAAAAGCGTTCTCTAACAGTTGAGAGGCAGATTTCAAAAATATTTCGGAACAACATTGTTTGACGGTGCGCAAAGACATCTCTCTCAAAAGCGTTCTCTAACAGTTGAGAGGCAGATTTCAAAAATAATTTCGGAACAACATTGTTTGACGGTGCGCAAAGAAACACAAAGACCTACTTGACGTTATAGTTACACCGCTAAGAATCAAGCTCCAT